TCTTCCAAAAAGTTTCTTTTATATTTTTTTATGACAAATTATGATAAACACAACAGTGAATATGAACAATTGAACGATTGAACTGAATCTTTTATACTTTACAACGGCCATTAAAACATATATGAGTTTGCTGGTTTGTTTGTTTGTCTGTGCTGTGTTGTGTTATGTGTGCGTGTGTGTGTGTAAGTGTAGGTGTAAATCTTGTTGTGGTTGACAATAATAGTATAAATAAAAGTCACGCAAAATTAATAAATTCTATGTCCGGTTATGTTGACTTGAAAATTGTTTTTACCTTTTTATTTCTGATTTCTTTAATCCCAGTTTTATTCAGTTAAACAATTGTGAGTGAATTGACTGATGTATGAAATGTGCTTTTCTTATTAGAATTGAAGAAATGAACAGATGGTCAGATTGTTAGTTGATTTTAAAAATGTTTTTCACACTTATAACTTTTTTTTGTACTATCCTTATTACCTGGGTTTTTTTCATGTTAAATTCGGAACAAGTAAACTATTGATTGATGATGATTCGAAAGATAAAAATGTGACACCTGGTCAACTTCTGTTTTTATTATTTGATTGTTTTAAGCTTAAAAATAAATAATTGATACTAACTATTCTGTTGGGGATGTTAGATCCTCAGAAGTCGCTTGATAAAAATATTTATTTTGAATATATTACATGAGTCAATCAGTTGACTGTGATTGGTTATTGTGTTATTTTAGTGTGCTATTTTAGTGACTGTCCCAAGGACGTCTTTATCGAGTACATATAAACGCAATTTGTATGTGTTGGAGGTATTGTGTGCTGGCTGGGTGTTTGTAGAATACACTTTCTACGCTATATGAAGACTTGATGATATGAATTGGAGAATCGGATCACAGTAACCTATCTGGACGTTGGTTCATTGTTTGTTCTCGTTATTCGATTAAGGTGAACCAGTAATAGTTTAAGCATATTTCGAAACGAGTATAACATATTTAAACAATAGAATATACACAGTGCTAGTACAGAGGCTTCATTTTATTATAATACTTTACAGTAGTACTTGTTTTACAATTACAAGTTCAGTATCTTCGATTTTGCAATTCAACAGTTGATAGCCATAATTATCATCAACGATACAACGCAATCACCACTGAAGATCATTGATGAGTATCTAAATTCATTCCAAATTAGATAATGAAAATTTTAAATTAGTTCTGTAATGTTCTAGCCAGACTATAGGAACCTATTGTTGATTAAGTTTCCACTACATTTGAAAACCATTTGACCTTAGCAGGGATAATCATGTTGTTTAAAAATTACTAAACTGAGAATTGCATCTGAATTCAATTTCAGGGTTCAGTAAGAGTTTATTTGTATATATAAAAACAGGAATTTTCTAGTAATCTGATGGTATATCCTAATCGAAAAGGATTAAGGGAAGTCAAACCAAAACATAGCACAAATCCATGAAGTCACTGACAAGTGGATTGATTCATGTTGGTAAGTGCAGACTACCTGGTTGGGATCCGCGACATGACAGTAGTCGATGGTTAGAGCCTTTGAATAAAATGGCTTAAAACTGTTTCCTATGCCGCAGGTGCATCCATTCTTTGGCTTCTTCGATTACTGATAATTTTTTTACTACATCTACTACTATGGGATTTGAATTGACAATTGAGTCTGTTTACTATTGTGGTATGTCAACTTGAGCTGATGTACATAGGTACGAAGTTCTATCGTGTAACTGACTGACTGGCTTAATCAAAAAGGGATTCCAAATAAATCAATAACGAAAAGTTTGTAGTTCTGAACAAGTAGTTTTTTACTTGATTTGGTCGCTTTAGAGTGAATGTCATGTTGAATCTCTTTTCCTATCATTGAATGTTGTTTGTTTGAATATATATTAAAGATATCTGGAAGATTGTTCTGTATTGCATGATATGATCGGCTTTCTTTTAAGGAATAACCAAAGGCTTATCTGGACATATTAAATTTAATGAGTCAAGCAGAGGAAAGATCAATATAAACGGGTCAACGTAAGATTACTTCATATGGCAACTGAAGTTGTTTGCACCATTCTCAATGCTCAGTATTCACACGTATTATATCCAGCATTTCCGTCAAGCTTTTCATTTATTTATTGAGTGGCGCATACTCAACATTTTATTTCAAACCTTTCAGAACTATTCGAAAATGACTGTTATGAACATGACGTTGTAGTGTGATACAAAATCTTGGATGGAAAACGCAAAATAGTGAAGTTACAGCTTGAAATAAAATTGATAGTGAAAATTGCTGTCTTATGTGCAGCATTCATCCACCAAAGGAACTGACTAATGTTCCAAATTGCTGAGCTTTGACTTACTTACTTATGCTTGTTACCCCCAATGGAGCATAGGCCGCCCACCAGTTTTCTCCAACCAACTCTGTCCTGGGCTTCCCTCTCCAGTTCTGTCCAATGTTTGTTCATTCCTCTCATATCATTCTCTATTTCTCAGCTAATGTGTTCCTTGGCCTTCCTCTTTTCCTTTTGCCTTGAGGGTTCCATGTGAGGGCTTGTCTCGTGACGCAGTTAGGTGCTTTTCGTAGTGTGTGTCCTATCCACTTCCACCGCTTCTTCCTGATTTCCTCTTCCATTGGAATCTAGTTTGTTCTCTCCCATAGTACGTTGTTGCTGATGGTGTCTGGCCAACGAATCCGAAGTATTTTGCGAAGACGTCTGTTAATGAGCACTTGTATCTTCTGAATGATGGCTTTGGTACAAGTTTCCTCTCCATATAGTAGAACTGTCTTGACATTTGTATTGAAAATCCTGATTTTGGTTTTGGTTGAAAGTTGTTTGGAGTTCCAGATATTTTTCAACTGTAGCCTTGAGAATGCTACAAATAACGTCAATCGATTCCTGAACTCAGTTTATGACATTATTAGCGTCCGAACGGAATGATCTTGATGAGCTGAGGAAATTAACTCAAAAATTAGTGATCAGTCTTTGGTTTCCGGAATAACTGTTATAAATGGTGTAATTCCTAAACTACGATTCAATGCTATTCCACTAATCCTATCAATATAATGATAAATTCTAAGGCTACATGAATTGGCAAGGTTTCATACAAGCGTTGTTATTAATTTTTTACAACCTCAAACCTTTCAACTGTCCAGCTTTTTTCTTTTGAATAAGTAACAGTCTATATGATAAGTATTTATCACAAATCAATTCTCACAGTTAGTTATGTAAACTACTGAATTTTGACTTGGCCATCTAGAGGTTTAAGCACTTTTATGCAAGACAGAATATTCTGGATTATATCCCCTGTAGAATCATAGACAGATGCTGTTGAGTATCTTCATACTGAGCTATAACAGTTATGTAGTCCATTTTGGTTTTAACAGTCGATTAACTAAGATCTGTCCGTGATGTAAACTACGAACAACTAACTATTTCTGCGAAACCACTATACCCATAAATTGTATATTGAAGGCATTCTATCATTGTTGTTACTACCAATAAACACATTTTTTACACAATGTTCTATTTTACTTATAAATTTACCCCTGAAGATAAGAGTAAATGTTCTTGAATCATTATCAGAGAATAGTGGTTGAGGGGAATTTTCTGTATCAAACACTTCTGTCATGAGTCATACATCAGTTTACTGATTTCAGGGTAGGATTAACTAAGCTATTAGTACATTCCTAAAATGAGTTATTCACTAAAGAAAATTTAGTGACAAAAGCTCGATACCAGTTTCCATAAACATTAAATCTGGACTTATTTACAACTAGTTTGTCATTCAAGATAAAAAAGCCATAAGAAGCAGTAGAATATTTAAATTAAAAATGGCAGAATGCCATCAGTAATTACTCCTTTAAAAAAATCTTAGTCGTACAGGAGGTCAAATATAAGGTACATTGGTCAATGGTAACACAGGTTTGTACATTCAGCCTCATAGCAGATTGTAGCTATGCTTTGTTAACAAGTCATAACAATCTTCAGACCTAGATTTAAGGCCATCTGCCAACTGTTTCCAACTACATAGTACAAAACATTGTGGATTCCATTTTTTATGAACATGAACTAGTGGTCCCATTTAAACTTGATCGATAGAATTTAATCAGTACCAATGACTAGACAAATCTAATTTTGGCTTCTTTTCTTTGATCCATCAGCGTAAGTAAAAGTGAATCTACCTGTGTGTTTAATTAATTTCTAAAATACTAAAGTCTATACTGACATTAACATAATCAATAAGTTGCAGCCATTATCTGTAAAATAATTTTTATTTAGCTCAGAAAGGTGTCTTTTCCTCAATATATAGATTATATGAAATCATCAACCAATCGTTGTCAGACCACCATTAGAAACCTGGAAGCACTGGACGGTCGTTTCGTCCTGGTGTGGGACTCATCAGCAGTGCGCATCCACGTAGATCAGTCAGAGTTAGACATTAACACCGTTGGATGCCGACCCAGTGGTCCGATGGTTAGGCGTTCGTGCACAATACCAAAGGTCCCGGGTTCGAATCCTGCGAGGTGCAGGAGTCGTGGATGCACACTGCTGATTAGTCCCATACCAGGACGAAACAGCCGTCTATCAGTGCTTCCAGGTATCTAATGGTGGTCTAACAATGATTGATTGATGATTTCAAATGTGTAAAATCACAAAACTCTGCCCGAAAATATAGATTCGCGTTACTCATTAATAACGGTGAAAATGCTCAATTATTACTAAGAAATAAATAAATTAATTAATTCAGATTACTCATATCTTTTATCTTATTCAAAAAATAATAGATTTTCTTTTCTTGTTCTCCTCCTCCTCCTCCTCTAATTTGTTCCTCGTTCGTAGAAACCTCGTCTTATAAAAAACAAACAAAACAAACAAACAAACTCATCGCTTCATTGAATTGAAGTGTTATACTCATCTATTTTTCTTTCACTGATGATTGGTATATTCCTTTCACTGTTGTCATCATTTGTGTTTCTAACTGTCATGAAAGTGATAAACAAAATGACATGCATAATAGAAATAATAATAATAATAATAATAATAATAATAATAATAATAATAGAGTTACAATTATGATACATAAATCGTTATTTTATTTAACTGAGGTCATGTCGCTTTGTCTGGCCAAAGGACGTTGTTTGCCTTACTAGGCATGTAGGTGTGAATGTGCGAATGCTTGTCCGAAAAATTCATACTATCAAAAACAATTGTACTAAGAATAACAAACAAGGATTGACCAAAGTGAGTATGTATGTGTGTGTGTGTGTTACAGTGGGAGAGATTTCTTCTAAAAGAAGAATTTTTTTCTTGTTAAATGTGTAGTTCTTTGAAGTGAATGTTCGAATCATGACAGTTTTATTTTTTGCAAGAGAACTTGATTGCAATGTGAAATAATTGAAATTCTCTGTTCACATTGACAGTTGAACAGATTGTCTTTATTGAAAAGAAATTCATTCCGAAAACAAACCTGTTGTTTTAGTAATAAACATAATTATTTACTGATATGAGCTTTTTTAAAAATTCAAGTGAAAGAAATAATGAGAGGTTAATTTTTTCTATGAATCAATCGAGATTATCTTAGCTTTAGTCAACATACTGCTAACGTCCTGGTTAATCTTCTCACAAATCAAACTGATTTTAATGAATGTATAGGGTGAAGGCGCAGTAACATGCTACCGCACGACAGCTCAAACAGTATAAATTGATACTGATTAAAGAAATGACTTACAATTTAGATTCCATAAATTTTAAAGCTTATCAATAATACAAATTAGACTATTGATTTGCGGTGGCCATGTAGTTCACGATTACTTAACCAATAAGTCTTTTATCATAAAACAAATGATGAGCAGTTAATAAACACAAACACAATAGTAAAAGAATGTCTTCCCAACAGGTTTTTCATCATGGCTCTACTACAAAATATTTGCTTTAAAACGATTACTTCATACACATCCAGTGGTTACGTAAGGTTTACGTTTACACTGCTACTACTACTACTACTACTACTACTACTACTACTACTACTACTACTACTACTACTACTACTACTACTACTACTACTACTACTACTACTACTACTACTACTACTACTACTAGTGAATATTCAACTTTTAATGAATGACGTTATCGTCATCTGCTAGAAATGCGATATTATTCCGTTAAAAATTTCAGCGATAATGTCTAATTTGAGTGTAAAACATTTTCACAATCAAACTCTGTCATTTGACTGTTAGTTATTTTCTGAAAGAATTTCATGCATTCACCTTGCTCATTTTCAAGTGAATTTATATTCTCTTCATAACTTTCTTATATAGGTTATACAATTGACATGAAGCCACCACATAGTACAAGTCCACTGAGACCGAATTCAGCATATCCCTTCCAAAATTTGCCTCATTCCGATTGTCCACCATCCTCTTGTTCTTCTTCCGCTTCATCAGTATCATCGACAGCGACAACTGTTAATAATATGAGAGATTTCATTTCTGACCGATCATCTCCATCTAATAAAGAAGCAAAATCTAATCAACACACTCATTTTCATCAATCACACCCACATCACCAACATCCTCCTCCTCCTCATCATCAAACACATACAATGGATTCAACAGATACTGGACTTCCATTCGATCCAATTACACAGCAGAGTCTTTCTGCTGCTGCATCTTCTTTTGTCAAATCATTGACCGGTTTCAATTTCAATAATTCAACTACCGGTTTCCTATTTCCAAATCCTCCACTCTCATCGAATTCAACAACACCAGTATTTAGTCAGAATGCTCAGTCATTACCAAATCCATATGCTACACAGCCAACATTATTATTTAATGGTATGAATTGTTTGTCAAATACAATGCATCATTTACGATCTAGTTCGTTAAATTGTACTGCTACCAATATTAATCCATATTTAATTGGTCATGATACTTCATTGAGTAATATACAATCACCATGTAGTGCAGAATCATTACATTCATTGTCTACTGATGAAAGTCCATCATCCAGTGGAATAAAGAATACTTCATTGACTGGGACAACTGGTCAATATTCAGCAATAGCAACAACAACGACAACAACAACTAATTCATGTCCAACACCAGCTAGAAGACGTCATCGTACAACATTTACACAAGATCAATTACAAGAATTAGAATCAGCTTTTCAAAAATCTCACTATCCTGATATTTATTGTCGTGAAGAATTGGCAAGAATGACAAAATTAAATGAAGCACGAATACAAGTTAGTATTTTTTTCCTTGTTTATAATATCATATTTGTTATTATAATCTAAAATGATACTAAGTTTGGTGTGTATTTGATTAAATGAAGTAAATCACAGAAAGTATTAATTTAAAAATGCCATACTTGCAGATGTTATAGATAAATATATATGTCACACAGGAAGGCATAGTTTTAGATCTCTAAATCGGAGTCTAGCAGCTCATATTTTCAAGTCCGTTTTATTTTTATAAGAAAGCAATAATCATTCGGTCTCATTAGTAGATTACTCTCACAAAGCCTATATGAATTAAATCTACCGGTTATAGAAATATAGACTATTAGATGTCGGTTCAATGGTTTGGAAGTAACCTATTCTCTCATGATATTCTTGATTACCACTAACGCTGTTATTCCATCACTGTAGCATCTGTTTCGAAAATTGCATCTTGTTGTACTGATATAATGTGGCAATTCAAATAGATGTTCATATATTAAACCAAGCTGACTGATTCTTTATATGAACTGAAAATAATGGATTAGATACAAAGTATTGAAGAATCCTATCCTAAAGTGAAAAAGTTATCTAGTATTCTGTGGTTTTTATTGGTTACTTAACTAAATTCAGTTTATGATGTAACTTATCTTAGCTCTGAACAATCTATATAAACTTTTCATGTTGAAAAAACTATGATTTGAATCTTTCGTGCATTACTTTGAATAATTTTAAATGATAGAAAGCGAGGAGAACGAAATACCATAGTCTTGTTTTGATTTGCTTCAAATATATTTATGTATATATCGTGGAAATTTAATTGAAACAAACAAATTAAGCCAATAAAGAATAAATCCAATGAATATACACTAACTTCATGATTGTATTCTAAATGCCAAAATGGAACATTGTAGATTTCACTTTGTTCAATGTTTCATACATATTTTTTTCTCGAATTCTTTCCGTTATCTTATTACCTACCTTCTCAAGTTTCAGTGAAGAATATTTATTTGTCTACGGACTATTTATTATCTCCTGTTTACTTCGATTCTTTCTCTCTCTTTTCTCATGTTCACTGTGACTTTGTTTTCTACCACCCTAGGGAACAATTAACTATTTGTTTGCTTTAATTTTCTTCCAAACTGTATATTTATTTATACATAACTAATTTAACAAATGATAGAATAGAAAGTTTGATGTTTTTTTCCTCCTAAAAAGAAGATGTTTTGTTGGTCGCTTAGTAAGTTTACATATCATTGAAACTTATAAACAACTCAAGTCTAAATCTTCTAGAGTTTTGGAGAAAAAACTTAAGATCGGTATTCATTTATGTATAATATATGTATTAATACTGTTGTGTTGTTGAACTGAATTGAACAAGACTTCATCTTTTTCGTTTCTCTATTTAAAAAAATAAAATTAAGGCTGATCACTGATATTTGAACAATTATTTCACTGATTATACATAGATATTTTTCCTGAATGAAGTGTTTATTGGTCGGTATACTTGTATGCATTAAACCAAAATAAAAACATACACATGAATTTACATTTTTTTTGTAACACAATTAATTTGACCTAATATCATCTAGTTTGAATTTTAAATAGATGAACATAGATGAACAAAATACATTTGAAGAAACTGTTGAACATATACATATATATACATAAATTCTTGAACATTTAACACTTTACTGGTTATTTATTCAATTGAGTAAGTAGGTAAACTAAATGTAATTAAATTATTTTCAATCCATTTCTCAAGATGTTTTTTTTTGCTTTAAACTTGAAATGAATATAAATTAAGGTAAGAAAGAAGTGGAAGGAATAGGATAACAAAAATTTTTGAGTTAAAATTACCATCGAACAAAGATTTATTCGATACTTATTTATCTTTGCAGAAAAAGTTCAAACTTTTGCGAGTAATTTGAGTACACTAAGAATTTATATATATATATATATATATATATATTACTGAGTTTAAAGTATGCATACTAAAGTGATAAAACCCAAAAGATGTTCTGTTTCAACCTCCAATCCAAAATAAGAACGAAATCCTATTGGCTTGTATCCTATTGTGCATAATGTTGTGAACACTTGTGTTCTTCATTGTGGCGTTTACTCAGATTCAATAAACTTAACTGATGACATAATTAATCTTCGAATGACATCTAATAGAAATAAATTCTTTGTGATAGTGGAGAAGATTTGTAGCTCAGGTGGATGATTGTGGTGGTGGTGTTTGGTTCTCTGAGCTGGATGTTTTAGTTGTGGAGCTTTCATTGTTCTTCTTCTGAACAATATCATCAGCACAAACTTCAGATAGAGGTGAAGCATTCGAATTTCTCCACGTTTGACCTGTAGTTTGTTCTGCTATATATATAATGCTTTGTCTGTTACTTTAGTGATAGTCCATTTATGACAACTTGAATACATACTGGACATATCTAAGGATCAGTAGTTCTTACATTGCATACAATTCTCCTACTTTTACTCATTGGAATAATGTTAAAAATAAATAAATTCCAGTAAGTATTAAATCATTGGCTTAGTATTACATCTCTCTCTCTCCCTCTGACTTCCACCAACACTTCATAAATGATTATTCATTACTATTCTAAGATATTAAATGTTCAAGTGATTTGATGTTTTTATAAAATCGAAATAAAAACAAAATATCCTCGTGTATTTTATTCACATTTTCAATCATATTTTTAACGTTTTCTAAATTATAATCTAATTTTATCTGTTTCCTTCTCCTACCCCATATTTTGTAGGTATGGTTTCAAAATAGGCGGGCTAAATATCGTAAACAAGAAAAACAATTAGTAAAGCAACAACAGCAACAACAACATGAACATAGACAACTTCAACATTTACAATATAACCATCCATTTAATCATTTACGTAATACATATCAATCATCTAGTCAAGGATCTCATCTTAATTCTTATACGCATTCAAGTATTTATAACGGGAATCCTATAACTATGGCACCAAATGGAGTTGGTAACAGTCATCCTTTATTTGATAGTAGTGATAATAATAATAATAATGATGTTAGTAATGGTAATGCTAGTATTAGCATTGATGGTAGTTCTCCATATTCTTCTTGCATGTCATTGCCCACTAACTTAATTGGCACGTCTGGATTAGGTATTCCTCCAAGTTTAACCAACAGTAATACTCTAATGAGTTACTATGGTTCTAATTTGCCTTACATGCCTAAAAAAGCTTTTTCACCGACATTTAACTCAGGATATCCATCATATACTTCACTTTCATCTCATACAAATAGTGTCAATAATAATGACACTGGGGAGAGACGGGGCAATATTTTCCCTTTAGCTTCTTCTCCAACTTCAAACAACTTAGAGCTACGGTCAACATCACTTTCGATAAACAACGAATCATCTAGTCAAACTGATTCACTTTCCGCTCAACTACCACAGCCTCAACAACAACAATCATTGCAGCAGTCTTTATCAACAAGACCTCATCTTTCCAATAATCCTGTATCTTTTTTACCAGACCTATCTTCTGAGCCATTGATGCGACGAGCTGCAGCTGCAGCAGCCGCTGCTGCTGTTGCAGGAATCTGTCAGGCACATACAACAATTTCTTTGTCAAATACTCCACAATATTTGCAACAACGAACAGAAAATGCATCTGATGAACAAAATAACTATTCAATGCAACAGTCTAATAATTGTCGAGTAAATTTTTCACCTACGTCCCCGTATCGACCTTTCAAACGTCAAACCATTTGTGAGCAGTCAAAACAAGCAATCAATTCAATTGAATCAAATATAAACATTCCTTCCAATGATTTATTTACGAATGAAATAGCTAGTCAAAAATCATTACACTTGTCATTCGGTCAGCATCGTCATCAGTTACATCAGAATGTAGAGGCTGAAGGGGCTTGTGAATTTACAAAACACAAAAATTTAGACCAAATGCAACTGAGCACATTACTACCATACAACAAAACTACTACTAATAATAATAATCATCCCCAGTTTTTTATTCCATCATTTTCTTCAGAATATACAAATCCCCTGAATTCCAATTCGATTACTTCAGCAAATATTGCAGCTTTGAATACAGATACAAATGCATGTACCACACTATCCACAATCACTTCTTCAACAGAAGATATCATCGCTCAGGAAGCTACAACAAATATAATTTCATTAAGTAAAATTGCAAACTTAAAAAATTTGCGTAAAATAAACAATATTTACCATAGTCACTATCTAGAAAATACCGATGCTTCTGAAAGTAATCCTATATCAACGCTGTCTAGTCGAGAAGTTACGTCAAACTCACTGTCCTTAACATCGACATCTTCATTATCATTACTGCCTTCTCTATCAGTGTCATCATCATCATCATCATCAAGCCGATTATTAGGATGGAATTTTCCACAAACACACTTCATGAGAAATCGTAATCATATTGCCGATAACAATAATGTAACTAATATGTATGTTAATAGTACAGACTCTTCATTTCATGATGCGCCAAACGAGACGTGCACATCATCCGGGCAACTAGAATACGAAGCAGTAAATACAAATAGAAATGCTACTGAGAGTGATAATACACCATTGGACATTGAGCATAATAACTCCAGGGTTTATCAAAATCAAATAACTGGCTTTATACAATTGAATGAAACCAGTTCATCATCCACTGTCCCGAGGTTTCTGCCTAACATGGAAATTGAGAACTCATCTGTAACTGATGAAGTGCAATCTAATTTATCAACTGTTCCAATAAGTACCACGAATACTACCTTCACAAATATTTATTCACATTTAGTAAGTTGAAAACTGATTTTTGTTTGTAATGCATAATTACTTTCCAATTTAAACTTCATTACTATGATGATAAAAGTTGTTTGAAGAGACGAAATAATAAATTTAAATTTGTTTTATCAACTAGTAATTCCCCGGACTGTCCAATGCGTAATGTAGTAGTCACGAATAGATCAAGTCAGAGATAAGACTGTATATACTTGCGAATGAAATATTTTAATTTGAATGATAGGCATAATAGTGTGCAAAGCGAACATCACCGTTTACAAATATGAAAATTCGATAAGGGAAAGTATCTAGAATATGTCCAAATTGTAAACATTAGTCTCTAAACTTTTGTCTTGATACTTTAGTGTAATTATAAACTACTCACTGGCCATGTCATATTTTGATTTTGATTATCATAAATCCTCCTTTAATAAAACACTAATTTGTATCAACTATGAACATTTAAGTGATAGAGATTACTGAATAACTGTCAATTTTTATGGGTCACAATAATGACTGACCCTTCTAAACCAGGAAGCATTGGACAGCTGTTTCGTACTTGTATGTAACTCTTCAGCAGTTCACATACACTACCGTACTGAGAGTCGAACCCAGGGCAATTAGACTTTACATAGAAGCCTTAACCATCAGAACACTGAGCCAGTGGCCATCTCTTCTCGTTTTGATCATTATTTCATGTAGATCACATCACTATTTATATACATCACAATGATACTGTCATTAACTATGAATGGATGATTGCTTAATTTATTTTCATTTCTGAGAAAGCTTATCCTTATGCTGTTTCAGTATAATGTACAAACTTATGAAAAGAGATTATGAATATCTGATTATTTTTTGTTCAATTAACAATTCAGTATGCCTTTTAATCAGTTTTCTTGATACACTCTTGTAGAGCAAGAACAGGGAATATTATTAGATGAAGTGAATTCGGTTTAATCTTTCATATACTAACTGAATTATATCAATATATAAAGTGTGTTACTAATATAATTTGAGTTGGAACATTCATATATTGATTTAGTTCATTTGATAATGTTTATTGTTCTCTCAGTTTACAACAGTTTAGTAAGTTTCGAGCAATATTTTAATAGTTCATGAATCTTTAGGACTTACAAAACTTACTATTAAAAGATATCAAGACTAATAGATCAACCAAACAAAAAAGCGTTCACAAACGAAACCGAAAGTCCTGGATTCAATTTCCGCATTATCAATTTGCACTGTTAAGGAGTCCCATACTAGGACGGAACGATTGTCCAATGGTCTAATATTAGTCACTTTATGGTTACATTAAAATTCATTTTGTTTCTCAAACCGATTTCTGAGAAGACAATTTACTACACATGAATGAAATATATTAACCAGCGTTTTTGAGTAACAATAGAATATTTCTGAAACTAAACAAAACAAAAATCTGTTTTTGTTTTACATCTAACATCTTAATTGTTCCATTCTATTTTAAAAATATGTTGCCAAAAAATAAAAAGCTTAACTAAAAAAAATACTACAAATTTACAAGTACAAAGAATTTTATCAATTGTATCAGGTCAATAACTAATTGACAGATGGATATTTTCTGCATCTCACTGTTGGATAACTAAACTATTGTCTACACATTTATGTTTATTGAACTGTAGGGACAAACTTTGTAATAGCCAATTAGATGTATGCCAATTTGTGTACATACATATATACATGTTTGTATAAATAACTGAGTGAATAAACGCGTGAACTAAAAATGTCTAGCCACGTTCTATGCAGTCAAAGCGATTTTCCTCCCCTTTTTTTTTATAAATAAAGTTATGTAACAAACACTTTATGATTATTATGTAGCGGTTAATAAAAAAAACGAAAATGAATTAAGTGGTCATTCATATATATATATATATATATATATATATATATATGATAATAATTATAGTTTGGGTGATATATTCATTCTCTGTAAAATTCCACAAAGAAAGAAAACCGTGTCGATTAGAACTGTTACACCATCTGGTTGCTGTTTTTTTTCTGTGTATGTGAAACAATTTTCAATTAGTTTCTTTCATATGGATAAAAAGAACTTGTCCAAGATGATGATGATGATGATGACAGTGAAGTAGTCCAATGCAGCTGACTAGTGTGTGTGTTTGTGCGCGCGCGCATGAAATTGGGACCATCTGTTCTGTACAATAGAACTTCATTGAATTTGCATGTTCATATGAATTAAAATTCCAATGAAGTGAAAAAAACAAAGTGTTACATCTTTCATTGTTCTAGTTCAATAACATGAAATCAAAGAAATATGCTAACATTAAATGAGAATATATTTTCGCGGTCTCAGATTACGTAACCAATTTTCTTATTGAAAAGATAATTAATTGACTATTTTTGTTTCTGCATAAACGTTTGACTTTTTTTGTTACATAAAAATAAAACAAACCATTTTCACTAGACGCCATTGTGTTATCCCCCATTTAACTACTGATAGTCATTCATTTGTGTAAGGAGTCAGAGATTTTTTTTAATTTATGTCATAATGACGGCTATATCGGAGTAATCCGCATAGAATGCCAACTAAGAATGATCAGATTTCAATTGAAATATCAACAACAGAATCATTTAAGCCATTTCAAACTGATCTTATTTCTGCTGTATTCATCAAGTGGGGGTAAATTCAACAGGCAGGATTACGGACATATAATAGTCGACAGGATTCGGTACTGATTGTGTTATACGTAACAAGTTAATTGAAGATAGAAATGTCCTCCATTGTATTAGTACTCTGTAGTCTAAAATTATTAGGCTACCCGTTGAGCCTAAATGCTTTGTTATGTACTTTCATTACTGATGGGTTCCCGACTAGAAGATTGTAGTTAGTAAGAACTAATATTTTCATAAACCTTGCGAAAATTCGTACATTGTCTTTCTAGAGTTTATTCAAAGTACATGATAACTTCGTATCTACTGATACAGGAAACTATACTTCATTCCTATAAAAAAAATAAGATAGTTAACATAATACTAAGATTGTGTACAAATTCTTATTACTAACCTGTTAACACTATATCATACGTAGAGGAATAATGAAATCATGTTAAATATCAGAAAGTTAAAATGGATAATGATTTGATTGAATTAGAATGCTTAAACTAATGTTAGTTTTGAATTTGCTTATTTCTGTAAGCTTTACACTGAATAACAATAATTATCTGTGGTTTTTAATGTAATTATTGAGTCAAAATGATAAATAATAAAAAAATAATTAGATTAGTAAAGTAAACAAACATAAGACTGAATACATTAAATGATATTCATTATAATGCAAATTAATTTAAATGGTTTTTTTAACGAAAAAATAAAACCGATATTTTTTATAACAGGTATATATATATAAGGGATTATTTACAGCAAAAGAATACTGAAAACTTGAACTTCTAAACATTTTACATCCCGGTAACACTACATGAGATTAAGCCGATGATTTTTGAATCTCACGATGAGTGAAAAAGTCATTAAAATATTGAGTTTTTTAATAGAAATAATCAGATCCAAATATTTCTAGTTGAAGAAGTGGATGTCATTTTGTACTGAAAATCTTACTCTCAACCAAAAAGAATATGCGAACCATAAAAATTCTACTTAGTTGCTTACAAAAGTTCAAAAAGACAAATTTGCGCGTCACTTTTTGAATTGAAAGATCAAGTAACTTGTAGTTGAGTTACAGATTAATCATATACATAAATTCTATTTATACTTTCTATAAGTTATCCGTTTACATAAACTTTATCCTAATTGGCTGGGAATATTTAGAGATTGTTTTAAGTTGATCCCTATACTATTTTCTTGCCAAAACTCTTTTCATACCACCCAGTTAAATGTTAGTCTTGTTACTCACTGATTACTTGCTTAAATTTGATTTTTATGCATTTAAAATCATCAATCAATCATTGTTAGATCACCATCAGAAACCCACAAGCACTGATAGACGGCCGTTTCGTCCTGGTATGCGACTCATCAGCAGTGCGCATCCACGACTCCAGCACCTCGCAGGATTCGAACCCGGTACCTTCGGTATTGTGCGCGAACGCCTAACCATCGGACCACTGGGTCGGCATCCAACGGTGTTAATGTCTAACTCTGATTGATCTAGGGATTTTGCGCGACCTCATCCATTTGTCTTTGGTAGTTACTGCCTACATCCGACAGGGTTGAACTCCATTGGTCACGTCTTCTGAACTAGAACTCCGAGAATTTCCTCACGAAGCTAGTCACTAGTGAGCACATGTTACGATATTTTCGAGGTTTGTGTTTTTACACATTTGAAATCATCAATCAATCAAATTTGATTTCCCTAGCTATACCATCAAGGAAACGTGATTTATAGCGTCATCAATGTCAGAACTGAAATAAATACCCACTTTTAATATTGATTTATTATCTCACTATACTGTAGTAAAATAATCCATATCAGATATAAGTGTATGTAAACTATGTCGTAATTGCATTCACTAGAATCTTCTGAAGAATGTAATATACTAATGACACCACAACATTCAACAATCTAAAAGCTTACATTAATTGACTGATATTATTTTACAGGACATAGTTAAACAGTGAGTTCATGAATAAAGGATTCTCCAGGATTATATTATTTCATGATCCACAACTAAATGTCATGGTGATCCTTATCAATTTGTATTCATGATCTCACCAGCTATCGATTCCAAGCATTTTAATTCTAGTAGTGAGCTTTTTACCTATAGACTATCTAGTGCAAAATTTGATGGTAATTTTAAAGGAGAACCATGGTAAAAGATAAAAAGATCTTTCGGATACAGTTTCGTCTAATCAACACTATTAAATCGTTCAGTTATTTTTTCTGATTATCTACTATTTTCATTGAAAATATTACTAACTGAAAATATTTTCTGTTTTTGTTTTTTAGGAAAATTCAGAGAGCTCTACATCTTCAGAATGGTGTAGAACAACAAGAGATGGATTTCAAAATCTGCACTCGAATCAACATTCCAATGGTGATGCCATTAATTCAGTAGTTCGATATCGAATGTAATATTTCATTTAGTCTACTGAATACATGATGTGGCATTATTGAGAAAAATTATAAATTGAACATGAACAACTGGATAATAAACGGAATACAGATAAACAAGGTTCATATTCAAATATGAACTTGATATGAAAACAAGCCACGTCAGAATGAAGGCATAAATATGAAAACTTTTGTTATTTATAGAAAAAAAAAAAAAACAAACGTACACATATTACATATTTGATGTATGCATATATACTTACATGCATATAGTAACGTTAAATAATCTATAAAAAATTACGTATGAATTGTTTTATTGAATATTATTTCTTGTTCATTTTATGCTTTTCTTGTTTTGCCATTTGTAAAGAATAAAATTAACCATATTTATAACATATCTGATATTTAATAAAACAAAATCACATGAAATCATTTTGTTACTCTAGAAAAATCCAGTGATTTGTTTGGATCAAGATCATTCATATACGTGATTATAACTTTGGGATTCTGACGGATGCCTTCTCCTTCTAGTGTACTGAAGATGTAGCATCATTTAAAGTAGTTGAAATAACATGCTTTTATATAGTAAGCAATTGTCAAATCTATTTCGATTATGATGTGACATAAAGTAAAACATACATTAAAGATGTGGAGGATGTCTCTGAACCAGTTGATTGTAAAGTGTAAAACAGTTACTTTGGCTCGATCTACTCAAACAGATCACATCCTGAGACATTTCTTCGAGGGAAATCCATAAAAAAGTTTTCTCCGAGCATGTCTTACAAGGACTTTGAATGACATTTTTTGGTGGATTAACTTCTGCTGTTTTCCCCTAACTAATTAATATCTACATAGGGAATATATTATGATGACCCCTTTCCATAACGTCATTTCTACGAAGCGCTAATTTCAGTACTGACTGGTGATCTTCATACTACTACTGTATCACATACATGGTTTTCAAAACACGTTTTAGCACAGCAATTTTCACTTAGGTAGCAAAGAGATGAAATGCTTTCATATATAGCAAATGTCTAGACCCATAATTGTAAAATTCATTAAAGCCTTATCAACGGTGTTGAAGAGTTGGTCTTCTTCAGTCATGCTACCATTACCTGTTTGGGGCCAAAACCTCCAAATTTTAGGCTCTAGTTGCAGCTGTTATTGTGTCTGGTGTTTACAGTTTTTGAGTGAGTGTTGATGTCACTGAGTATATCCAACAAAAGTATTTATTCACATTGTTTTAACTCCGATATTAGCAATCATTTTTACCACCAAACAATTTTTATTACACAAGTAATTGAAACATATTATATTTGCTGAATAAAACTGATTTTCGTCCCATTATTTGCTCATTTGTTTCGGTTTGGTAACTGGAAATATTTATTCGAAACGTATTTTGTTATCCATTTGAATGTAGATACTGTAGCTATGAAATGCTTTTTGAAAGTTTTGTCGTTATGAATCGTGGCAAGGTTTCTTTGTTTCCTAGGTAAATGGTTAAAAACTACTTTACTATCAAAGAATAAAAAGCTCACTGACGTTGATTGGGCGACTCCTGATATTTATGGAAGCTTAATTAAGATAAAGCATATTTGTTTTCCCATCATAGATTGAACGAAGATGTTGGTGTAATCAGTTTACGGACAGTGTTAACAATATAACAGAATCAAGAGAATTAAACTTAAACAGCACGAAAATATATCACTGTCGTTCTTTATATGTATATTCACTAGTTAACTGGCATTAAGTACTACTCTATCCAAACTTTACAAATCCGAGTGCAAATTCGTCTATGAGTGAATCATATAACAATTGTTTTTTGAGATATTAGTTTGATATATTTCCATAGTCAAATAAATCCTTATCACTAGTTTTGTTTTCTCAACTTGCATTGCCAAATTTGGGAGTCCAGTACCATTCACTAGTCAGCTGAGCATCCAGCAACTTAAGAAATAAACAGAATTATTTCGAACCTTGTAATTAAGGCTTGATTCTATTAGGCATTTTATTCATTGAAAATTAATTTGAAAAGACAATCTGATCGTCGATATAACTTATTTATTCAACACAGGCTAAGGAGCTGGTAGAGAAGCTTGACATATAAAGTCTGTTCATCTTTCAACAGCATGAGATAGGGAATATATATCGGACCTGTGCATGGCTCATTCTGTCACACTCGGCATTCTGATTAAAAATCAATATTGCTACAGACTTAGTCTTGACAACGCTGCCTAGCCTATGAATATGGTTAGCCTAGGAAGATCTGGTAAATAACTTATTCCCTTATGAACATTTCCCATAGTTTCACTTGACTGGTATAGTCACTGTTATTGAGTAGTAAATAATTGTCTGGATTTATCTGTTTATTGATCACAGAACGGACTACTGCCGAAACACTTCTCGCCCTCACTCAATGAACTTCCATATTAACAGATTTCCAATATAGTTTCTGAGTTTACAGATTATACCGATATCCTCTTTACTAGATTATTCCTTAAATAAATTACCTCGGATCACATATCCTGTATTTAGAATCATCGGTTACTTGTTGCAACTGTGGATTAGGGGACTGAAAACCCGAGAACGCTTGCAACAGTGACGTCCAATAACTTTGTGTGTATTTATACTTTGGATATTATCAGTTGTCTCTACACATTTCGCAACAACTTTATCACTTCTTTGGTATATAGACTTTGATCCACCAAAAGTCTACTGTCCTCAAATTCACCAAGCTACAAGCGTCATTCAAGTTAACTGTAGACCATAACATTTAAATCTAAACCTTAAAGGATCCTGACCTGAAGTTCCTTTGAGGCACCACCGGATGAATCTTCTTCTAGTCGCCATAAACACTAGGTTTTATGTTACCTCTAAACCCTTTTTCATGCCAACACAACGATTTTGATCAGCACTATTTCTGCATCACCAATCTCCTGACTGCAGTGGGTAGGCAACCTCCCATCCTTTATCCCATATAGAAATTGGGTGTGATGTACTTCGGGTTTCCTCAAATTTTTGATAAAACCGATCGCAAGAGCTCTTACTGATGGGTACGACTTCACTACTGATGAATGGCAAAATAATAACTTGTTAAGCAAACGAGAAACACTGGAAGACAAAATCAAGACTTCATGGCTAGGTCAGGTAGGCGCGGTCAGACTATTTAATCTTTGCTTCTCATATTAATGTATTATACCCTACCCAGACATATGTATTCTAAAGACGCTCACAAAAGCATATTGTCAACTGTCATGATGGGATGAGTCAATATAGACAATGATGTGGCTTCTGTACAAGATTTTATTGGTTAGGCAGTCACATAATGACAAGCATATAAATCGTAGAATAATTGTTATTCTAGTAGCAGAGAAAAGTGCAATAATATGAGCTCTGACCCCAATCCTACAGGAAAATCACAAGTCTATTTACTCTCACCATGACTATAGGATGCAGAATTTCCCACCACAACCGAATAAAAATATCTAGATAGGCCTCACCGAAGCATACCTCAGAGAACCAAATTGATTACATCTGCATGTATAAAAAATTCGGTATGTCCATGGAGAAGAGTAGCTTAGATAGCTTAGTGTTGTTCAAACTAAGACTTGAAAAAGCATTATACTATTGGACAGGAAACATACAAATGTTTATCACAAATTTCCTTCAAGATGTTAACAAAATTGGTAACATCCGAATAGCTCTTAACAATAGGTTTCAACGGTTACGAGATCTACGGTAAGGGAAATCGGTATGACGAACGTCTGTAAAGAGATTAGTAGAGTAAAAATTTTAACATGCCAGGGGGGAGCCAGCTGAAAGAAGTGCCAATATGAAGAGTAGATCTCAATAAATAACCTGGGCTGGTTTTAAAAGTGGAAAAGCAAAAGGATGACCATTAACAGCAACAGAGACTACCAAGGTACACGCCCACCTTTCAGAACGGAACAAAGGAAAGATACGAAGTATTAGACCTGATAAGTGGGAAGATGCAGGAAACTTGGTAATGATAGCAAGAAAATGTGAAAAAGAAGGAAATATAACAGAACTATGTGATAAAATTCAAACAGTAGCAGGGAAATATAGTAAACCAGAATGTTCAGTCAAGGTAAAAGCATGTAAACTATACCCTAAGATTTGAAGGCAGCGGAACAGGTGGGCGGCTCACCTTGAAAAGCTGGTTGTCGGTCTATATTCTTGAATGAGTAACAGGTGTAAATGAACGAGTATCGAGCTCACTGAACATCTAAGCAGAACATGCAAAACCACCCTTATGTGTTTCCGTACGAAAATTAAAGTTTCCGAACAATGCCGTTAGAAAAATCTTGGACGGTGAGGTAGAAATACGAGACACTTTAGTTAAGAAAACAGGTTACCACGAAAATGCTCCACCCAGTTTTATGAAAGACTTGGGAGAAAGAACAAGATCCAGCAGACTGCAAAGAAGTGTAACTCATCAATATTTCAAAGAGAAGAGGTATTAACAATTGCTAGAACTACAGAGCAGTCAAATCATTATCAGTATTATGAAAAGTCTTCAACAGTAAAGTAAGTGAAGGATTAGGCAGATGCTCAACTTCAGGGTAAAAAGGCTGGGTTCCGTAAGGATCGATCATGTATTGGCCGAATTGCTTCACAAGGGATCATCGTCGAAAAATCAACTGAATAGGTCGCATCACTATACATATAATTCCTTGAATATGAGAAAGCCTTTGCGAGCCTGGATAGGAGACAGATAACATTCTCCTTTTCTTTTCCTGACTGGATTATGAGAACCTCAGTGTCTCGGGAGAAGCATGAAGTTTGGTAGACAGCTAGGATGCAGCTAGATCTTCGTTTTTCAGTGAAGAAGAATAAGAAGACGGTCATTGTAACAGCAGCTCCTGCAGAAGTAGACGTCCATGTGCACGAGGAAAGAGTCACGAACTTCAGATACAAAACAGCAAGTGCTAACCGAATCACGCTTGACAGAAAAGCGCTGAAAGATGTGGAAACCTTGCCCCATTCGTAAATAAAATGAATCTGATGATGTTGTGAAATCTCGGATCGGAAAATCAAGGAAAAAATTTCAAAAGTTGAAGCACATCTGTAACTAAAAACAATTGTCAATTATAAAAAAAAGTCAGAATTTTCAATACAGATGTGAAAACAGTGCTATTATATTGAGCTGCAACTCGGAGAACTACAAAAGTCATCATCAAAAAGATAAAGCTGTTTAGGAAGTATTGTGGATGGAAGAAACTCCGGATACATTGATCATACATCATCAGTAACGAACCGTTTTGGCAGAAAACGAACCCAATTCCAAATGTAAAGGGAATTCTAAAAGAACTCTGGCTAATAAAACACATTGCAGGAATCACAGAACTGTACCACAAGTCAAGCCCTAGCTCGGAATCCTAAAGGCAAGGGAAAATGACAGACCTAAAAACAGTGGCAGTCGAGAATTGGAGGTAGGCAGCAGAAGAATGAACAGAACTTAACACCGACTAGAAAAGAGGTATTTGATCTGCAAATTTACCCCACGAGAACTAGCTGGTCTAAGGCGTGTATTCTTAGTCCACATGTCGGGTCACTCTTTACCATTTGTTTGTACATATACGTTCCGTACAGATTGCACTTATTCCTCATAAAAGTACCACGCAACCTTTTAGATGAAAAAAACTTATCAAATATTTAAAACTGATCTATCATATCTTTAGATGGAGGAGCTTTGATGATAAAAACATAAAATCATGGCAGCCTTTAACTTCAGGACAGTCATTAAAGAAGACGAGGTAAAGATAAAATACGTTGACCCTGAACATTCTACTCAAGATCACAAAGGCAAAATGAGATAGAATCTCATTGTACGGTTAAATAGAGGATTTAGATCTAGTTGTATCGATCCCCTTTGCAAAGCCCTATTACCAACTAGGTGCACACTCCTCAAAACTTCTATTCACAAATTATTTGCCGTACACTGCATTAAAGCACAGATACCTGTAACCGTACCGAAAGAACAAGAATGGAGCTCATAGGAATCAACTCGTTTATACTAGCTCGTGGAAAAGCAGTTGGATATTGAAGTCATAGTTTCTGATTACGCCTCGATTTTGAGTTTTAAAACTATTCTATTGTACCCCATTTTTTTAGAACTACTAAGAATTTCACGTCAAATTTAGATTAATCAAAGAGAAGGGCTTCACATTTCAGTGGTAGAGAACCTTCACTCTATGTATTAGATGGAAGTGGAGAGTTTTACTACACCAGGCAATCGCCTACCTCCCGCCTCTAACAGTTCACGTAGCGGCGCCAACTTTGTACTTACTTGGAAATGGCTACTTTTAAAGGGGCTGCTAGAGAGGCTCAGAGAGCTGCTCTGTTGATGAAGCAGCGTGAAAAGGAACGACAAGAACTAGAAATTCAGAAACGAAAACTTGAGGCAGAAATGCGTGTCGGTGAAATGTCTACTAAGTTTGCCGTGCATTATGATGCCATTGAATACCAATTGAAGAACAATACGGTATGCTATGCTTTTAACTTAATCGAAATATAGATTGGTTTGGTGACGTTAGATGAAATGAAAGCTCGCCAGAAAGCTTATATGACACAAAGAGAGAAGGAATTAGCCCTGGGAAACTCGAAAGGTCTCTCACACAAGTCAGAAAACTCCGCACTGGAAAAGAAAAATAAGCTCCAGCCTGTACGTTTTAGTTTAATTATCCTCATATTACTTAGTCTCTGTTGTCTTTTGCTGAGGAGGAAGATCTCGAGGATGAACAAAAGTCACCTATCTCCACTGAACATAATTCTGAGTCACCCGACAAAGTAAAAGTTGTACTGCATTTTAGATTCCTCAAGATAATTTGTAGACTGAAGATAAACTTCAGTTTGAAGAAGTTCTAACAGACGGGGAGGGTGCTGTTAAGTCTGACAGTGAGTCTTGTGCCAAACGAAGGCGCTTGGGAAAAAATCCAACAGTTGATACTAGTTTTCTCCCGGATATTGATAGAGATGAAGAAGAAAAACGTTTGAGGTAAATAGTAAACAGCGTTCTATCTGTTTTTTAGCAGTTCCTCTCTGTTTTCCACATTAATTTCATTGTCTCATATGTTGATTAGTACTTATTAGTTGTATATGCTGTATTTATACTGTCGCATTCCATTCCCTGATATAAGCTGACTTTATTACACGACTTCATATAAAACCATTTTGTATATTTTAACCTGGTGTTTCTAGTGCTGTAAAAGTACAATCACTCATATATGAATTAAGATACGTTGATATGGACGAATCGTGATTTGATTACTTCATTTCTACAAGAAGTTGCACAAGTTGACAGACTCAGTATTTTATCGTTTCTCAGTATGTTCAATTGATATACTTAATGTGGCCTAAGACACAGTTCGCAATCTTCTTACTAGGTTTACATAAGTGTGTTTCGTCCCCTCTGTGATAATGCGGTATGGCAACTTGAACTGATGTACATACGAAGTTCTACGCTGTAATTGACTGGCTGACTTAGTTCCTTGTTCGTCGTTTCCCAAATGGCCTAGTCGAAAGAGACAGGGCAGGATTTGAACCTGCACTTTAGTGACTGAAAGTCGGATGCCCTGACCACTAAATCACCATTGGTGAAACTTCTATTTACTTGTCTCGTATATATTTACGATTTATACCAACGCAAAATTATTTGTGTACATAACCTCAACTCGTGATCTCACGTGGCTATTTAACATAATATGAATGAGTTTTGGCATATTGCGGAAGTTCAAGCATTCTGATAAAATTGTCTGTTTATCATTTGTGGTCATGGACTATTTAGTAAACGATACAATATCCACTCCCAACCGTAGCTGCTACCTTGACGTAGTGGTCGGGCTTGCTTATTATGACGACCCAACCGCTCTATATTGGCTGGAATATATGTCCCTTTAGGTCAATTAGAAAGCGGCTAAACTAAAAGCAGCAACTCAAGGTCCGGCCTTAGACACTTGTCCCTTGAGTTCTGTAGTCACGCTCCCAGGTTGCGAAGACCAACACTAATTCAGTTTTCTTTGCAAGTTCCTCAAAAAACACCCTTCCACGGTGTGGGCAGCCGGGAAGTTACACCCGCCCTCATACCCATAAAAGCACACGAGACCAAATTTGTCACAACCAAGTCCTTTCTGCACCTGCTAATAACTCTCTTATCTCCTCCATCAACCGTTCTTTCGATCGTTTATTACCTAACGCCACTGTATCAAACGGTATGAGCTCACGAAACATTGATCCTGGTCTCTTGAAACCCCGTACTAAATTACATATAAAGGAGCTTTTGATGTTCGGACCGTATGCCAAATAGGGCAACAGGCTTCATTAACTAGAACTCTGGAATCCCAGGCGATCAATGTATGTTGCGTCCCCGAAATGCGCATACAAGATCCGAGTAAAATCCTCAATTTGATCTCACCGAGTGTGGATACAGACACAACAAGGTTTAGGCTTCGTGTTTCTGGAAGCCCTGATGCCACTTCTCATGGCCTCGCCTCGCCGGTGTAGGTATAGTATTAGGTCCAAGGGCAGAACTAGCTCTCTTAGACTGGATTCCGATAGACAGTCGCCTATGCACTGTCCGACTAAACGGGACGGTATGGACTCAAAAGGATAGAGACACTCGCCGTTGCCTCTTCGTCGTATCTGCCTACGCTCCCACTGACTGCGGTTCAGACGACATGAAAGATAGGTTTTATAGAAACCTCTCTAAACTTCTCCAAAACGTTAAGCGATCTGATGTAGTCATAATAGCTGGTGACTTTAACGCTGATGTAGGTAGACTCAGCGAAAAGGAAAGACACCTGGGTGGGTGTTATGGTGTCGCGGCTCAAAAGACATAATGGCGGCCGTCTGCTGCAACTATGCTCAGATAACCGCCTATTTCTAGCAAACACTAACTTCAGGCATAAGAAAAAACATCGTTTGACCCAACTAGATCACATCGCTATAAGCCATCGGTGGAGAGGGTGTATTGGAGACTGCCGCTCATTCTAGAGTACTTGTTTAGACTCAAACCATGCTCTAGTGCGAGCGCGTATTTGTTTGCGCCTTACTGGACGCAAGAAAAATATTGCAAGGAAACCTGTTAGGGCTCTGCTTAATGATAATAAAGCTAAGAGTATATTTCAGGAACAGCTAGAAAGCAGCCATGTAGTAAGTGATGCCCACGCTGAGGCAGCTTGGAATGATATCAAAAAGGCTGTGGAAAAAGCAGTGGTATCTTCTAGTAAGGTAAATCATAAGGTTAGGGGGAAGCCGTGGATTTCAGTAGGATCTACGGAACTAATGGATGCTCTAAAGTTCATCCCTCCTGGCTCTGAGCACGATGAGTCAGATCAAGTGCATGCTGATAAAAAGCCTTCGCAATGATCGAGAACAGTGGTGGGTAGCGGAAGCAAAGGAAATCGAAGAGGCAACGGCGATAGGCAACAGTAGGCAACTATTCAGACTTATCAGTCAAACCGGTATTAGTAACCCGAATGGGAGTGAAACTATCTCGGAAAAGGATGGCTGTATTGTTCATTCTCAATCCAGGAGATTGGATCGATGGGCAGAACACTTCAGGGATCAGTTCAACTGGCCATCAGCCACACTTCGGTTGCCCACGATCTCCAGGCATCGCGAATGGGAAACCGACATTTGTCCTCCTAGTCTTTATGAAGTTGAGAAAGCTATGGGAAATCTGAAGCGAGGGCGAGCAGCGAGTCCTGATAGATTGATCCCTAAGATTTTTAAGGATAGTGGTCCGGTTTTAGCAGCTAGATTGACCGAAATGTTAGGTAGAATCTGGGAACTGGACGTAATCTTATCTGACTGGTCCCAATTTATAAGAAAGGACAAACGTCTTGTGACAATCACAGAGGTGACTGACGAAATCTCGGCACGGATACAGAAAGCTCGATTGGCTTTCGCCAACCTGCGTCACTTATCGCGAAGGCAAGATATCCGTTTGCTGGCCAAAAGATGAGTGTACTGCGCAGTAGTTCTCTTTGTCCTACTATATGGCTGTGAAACATGGCCAGTGAGAGTAGAAGATATTCGTAGGTTACTTGTTTTCAATCATAGGTGCCTCCCAAGCATTGCTCGAGTATCGTGGGACAAACGAGTGAGTAATGCTGCCATTAGGAAACGAGTTCTAGGTAAGGATGGCAGATCGATAGATGAAGTATTGAAACTTCATCAGTTGAGGTGGTTGGGACATGTGTTACGTATGCCTAACCACCGACTGCCTCGTCGATCTATGTTTTGCGATGTAGGAATAGGTTGAACGAAAGCTAAGAGGGGCCAGACCAAAACATGGCAGCAATCCATGAAGTCACTGACAAGTGGACTGAGTCATGTTGGTAGATGTAAGCTACCTGGTTGGGGTCCGCGAAATGATAATAATCGATGGTTAGAGACCTTGAATGACATGGCTCAAGAACGTTCGCAATGGCGCAGGTGCATTTCTTGTGTCCTCCCAAATACTTACCTTTTGAACTCCTCATCACCTCTATCTTTCTCTTTCTAAATTTACCTCACTGAATCTTACTTCTTGAATAACATATTCATACCCTAATCTCTCCGATTACTTCTAATACTTTTACTACGTCTAGTACTATGGAATTTGACTTGGCAATTATATCTCTGTGCTAATGTATGGCAACTTGAACTGCTGTACTTACATTCAAAGTTCTACGTTGCTGTTGATGATGATAAATATTTAGAATTACATCTTTATGTATTTCAGAGAAGAACTTCGAAGAGAATGGGTAGCTAAGCAAGCTGCGATCAAAGAAGAGGAAATAGTTATCACTTACAGCTATTGGGATGGATCTGGACATCGCAAACAAGTTCGAATGAAAAAGGGTCACTCTATCCATTTATTCTTACATCGTTGCGTAGAGCAACTTCGAAAAGACTTCTCTGAATTAAAGTCTGCCAGTGCAGACCAAATGATGTATATCAAAGAAGACTTGATTATTCCTCATCATTATACGTTTTATGATTTTATCGTAACTAAGGCTCGTGGTAAATCCGGACCATTATTCTGCTTTGATGTTCACGATGATGTTCGTATTCGAATGGATGCAAACGTAGAGAAAGAAGAGTCACATGCTGGAAAAGTCTGTTTACGCAGTTGGTATGAACGCAATAAACACATTTTTCCTGCTAGCCGATGGGAACCATATGATCCTGCAAAGAATTGGGATCATTATACTGTATCAGATAAAATGGCTGCAAAGATCACGGTTAAATGAATTATTTACTTATTTTTTGTTTCATTTCAAACTTATAACTAAGTGTAAAATAATTTAGCTTATTATTTACATTCCCTATATATTGTATAGAATCAAAATAACATGTAAAATCAATAATTTGTGAAATATTCAGTCCTTTGTCTTTCTTTCTAGGTAGTAGGCAATTTTCGAAGTATACAGGAACGGGAACTACTAAATTAGATATATCACATGAGATTTTTTGCTTAATTCCCATAACAAGGGTGCGAAAATTCTTCACTCTGGTTCTTTGGAAATACCCACCTTAATTTTTTTAAGGTTTAGCAACTAAAATAACCATGAGTGATTTTATCGAATCGGAAGGGGCGTAAGGTAAACTTTCGGTGAACATAATTTTGAGTGTGATCGTGAAATGCTATCTCATTTAAAACATGACTGTATGTGCTATTTAGAGGAGTATCGATAGGCTCTAATCAACATTGGGTATTGCAGTGTGACAGTGGTTTCTACTTAATGATCAAGCAATGTGAGAATCTTACTCTTATACAAAGATCAGACTGCACTTGGATATCCCTGCTGTGACGTCTTTGATGCTGGCAAGCGTTGAAGCTCCACAGAAAGTGCTGGGGTTACTGGTATGTCTTGGTGGCATTTATCAACTAGCATAGAATTTAGATCGCTGGTATTTTGTCGACTGCTAAACAACAAAACAAAATAAATCACAATAACGAGTCACAGCATTATGGCCCCACTGCAACGCGGTCGGTACAGTTTGACATGGAAGTAGTTTCGTAAACGTCTATCATTTGAACACAACAAAAGGCAAAGTGCAAGACATATTATTAACAGATGAAGATTGGGATGAAGCGTAATTATTTCCTTCAGTTATCAAAACCGCGAACTCGCAAATTATAGGTTAACTTCACTCTATTGGTTATTAATAGATGTAAACCCAATCGGGAGAACGGAAATCATTTTGACTTTCAATAAACGTTTTTCGCCACATTACCCAATTATTCTTGAATATGTTGATAGTTTCTTCGTTTGATTGACACTGAATTAATGATAATCACCGTTTGTAAGATCGTCAGTTTTAACTGCGAATTCTATCTTGATCTTAGGTTTAACAGTAAGTTGATTCTGTAATAGCTTTGGCTGTTCACTCCTGTAGATATCACTCTTAAGTTAATGGTTTGACGATAAACATGGGAAAATAAGATTTCGTCAGAAGGGGTTCTCATTCATAGAAATAATTTTGCGGAAATACTGACTTATTTCCAAGGCTAAGGGAAATGTCATTTAGTTATTACTGTACTTCAAATAAGTTCAAGAAGATAGAAAACTAAGTAAATAGATAAAGTAGTCAAAGTTTTAGTAGCTTCTACGAAACTAGAAACAGTGAAAATGTTTCCAACAAAAGTAACTGAGCCAGAAAATAGAAAGTAGGAAATAATATTGCAGATCAGGTGGAATGATAAGTACATCTGACTCATTCCAATCAGTTAGAATCTACGTAATATCTTATGTTTATTAATTGATGTAGATTATCATGAGAGTCCTAATCAAACAGTCTGCATCTCCCAACGAAACTCAGACGAACAGTCAATTAACTAATGAACTGATACCTTAATTCAATTCGTTTACCACTTGTTCTTTTGAAAATTTATGCATGCCGTATAGGTGATAGTCATGCATCGGTAGGTAATACACATTCAAGCCAGCTTCGTCAATGAAGATTCACAGTTGTTTAATTGACTAAAATATTCTACTTCCTGTTTTGATTTCTTTTGCACATAAATTGTCTATAAATTTATATTTTTAATGTTCAAAATAGATTTGTTTGCGTTTGTGTGTCTGTCCAAGTTGTTGTTAGTCCTAATGGTGAATAATGAAAAACTAGCAGCAAACTTTACGATATAAAAGCAAACAGATAAATAAAAAACAAGTACAAAAAATAAAGAAATAAAATTTTCTGCATAAATAGGAAGAACATTCCATCGGAATAGATGTGATTAACTTGGAGTTGTACGGATAAGTGTAAATATTACTGATTACTAATGCAGTCAACGTGTTAAATTATGTTCATTCATTTACTGACAATCTACATTATGTGACACTTAAGCTAAGTGTGCTATATATACTGCTAATTGTTATGCATGCACGTACACACGTCATTTTGATATGCTTGAACTATTACGAGTTTACCTTATTTGGAAAGGAGAGCGAGGATCCGGAGACAAGACATGCTATTCTAATCCGAATGTCCCAACCCCCATTGAACAAAAGAAGACTTGATATGAAGTAGAACCTGTATTCTACAAGCATTCAGTAAGTACGAGGTCCGAGTCCAGAAGAGAATTAGGATCCCGGACTAGGGATCCAGGTCCTCGTCATAGAACGTTACAGATAATGCGTATTTATACATTTATGTTGAATAGGAAACAGCATCGAAGTCTACGACATCGACAGTTAAGACGACCGATAGGAAACAACATTGGAGCTCTTGTGTGCAAATAAAGTGTTTGAAAATGGTAGCTCCATTAGGGTGTTGTAAATCCACTTTTATGAAGAGAACGTGACTGGTTTAATAGGGACATTAATTATTATAACCAATTTTACTGTAGTGGTATACTTTTACGAAGAAAACACAATTGCTGAAATATAAACATTTATTATTGTAGTTGATTCTGACAATAATTGTTATATTGTACTCCTCTGGTTTATTCGTACTAAAGACTATCTCTCGTGCTCCAAGCATGTATTTACTTTTCGTCCTTCTCTCCTAGCTCGTTGTTAGCCGTTCGTGTACCCCAGTCTCGTGATTATTTCAATATCACGAGGCTAGCATTAAATATGGTTCTTCCTCTAGAATCGTTTTTTATCTGATTACTAGAGTAACGGGATTAACATTTGTTATTCCGCGAAGTGGTATGTTTATTTGGTACTACAGCAGTACCAGTGATTGTTTAACTGTAATTAATGTCTATTACTCTCTGTACGCGCAAACGTCCGTTTGTGATGATGCAATTTTCGCTCTCCCGTCTCTGTTTTATTTAGGAGGGAGAAATAAGTTATACAAACGAAACTACCTGTCATATCCATCAATACTTTGACATGTATTGATCAACACATTTTGTTCTTCCTTATCCTTGATGACAGTTCGTAAACTATTGATCGTTCATTAATTAATCTTCTAAAGAAAATACAGTTCGGCTTGATGGATCGTTTGGTCAAATTTCAGTGATATTTCACTGGCCTTGCATGTTTATTGTTTCAGAAGTTTTGAATTTATGATTTCGATTAGTACTACAAAATCCATTTTAGAAGGCTTTGTTTGGTAAAATCCCTCCATGTATACATCTGTAACATGTCCGCATTGATTCTTTAAGTCCTACATTTTGGTAATCTGATTAGTTCCATTTTCGGATGATAATATTTGTATTTTGTTATGTTTCTATTTTTATCCCTTTTTTGAGTTTTTACTTTTCTTTCTGAACTGTATTATGTTGTTGAAGCTGATACTTAGTTATGGCGACAGCCATATTGATTTCGTCCCTTTGGAGGTTGGAGCACTAACACGAACTGGAAGTGTGCAATTTGGGTTGGAAATTGGAACATTCTTCCAGAATTGAAAACACTCTGTGTTATTATTGAAGGAATAGCAGTTGTAATATTGTTTAGGTAATGACGTATATGTATATTTATGATTAATAATAAAGCCTTTACTTACTCACTTGTTTTGGATTGCGACTGGATTGGATTCTAAAGTATGACAGTGTCAAGCTCATTACAAAACATTCAACTTAGAGAAGATGAAACAACAGAATTTTCAGTGTACAATTGGTTGGTTACTGCTGTAAGATTTTCGTTTTTTAACGCTAAAGCTCCAAATTTCAAGGATTTTCAAATTAATAGTTGTGTAGCGGTAAATAAATCCCTGAATTAAACAATTTTGTTTGACATCAATGCTCGCATCACCAGTTTCACTAAACAGCTTACCTGAAAGCGATCGGTCACGCGTCCACACCAGATCACCGTTGGGTACACCGTGCAACGCAAGCGCTCGCATCAACTAACCAGCTTTGTTCACACACTCCTCGACGTTCCAACCATCACTGAAATATACTGTCTATCTTTATCACTCCTGACTTCTGGCTTTAGGCATTCGCGATCTAAAAGGTGTTATAGACATGAGCGTTGTTCAACCCTAAATATTAGTAACATCCCCACTAGTAAGCTCTACGTGGTCTGGCAAGATCAACAAGATATTATGGATCTATTGCTTGTAACGACGTTATATATGTTAGTAATTTTTACTAATAGTGATATTATTTTCTTTTCCCACAGGTTTGTTTTTATTTTTGTCTTATTACGTTGGGACGTAAACCTGAGCTTCTTAAAATAAGGACTATTACGCCCCCGAGCTTTCAGCTGATCCCCGCTTTGCCTGATAACATCGAAGCCTGGTTCTGCAATTCAGAGGCTAACTTCCACGAACAAACAGCTAGACTGAAGGACAACAAAATTATAGATCTCTATATTACAGTGAAGCACTTGTAAAATCTTTCGCTCAGTGGCGAACGATTAAAGACTTACCGACAAAGTTCATTACGAAATAGACCTACTACTGAACCGGGTGAAATACGAAATCCGAATTAGTGTCTGCACCTCAATACCTATGGCGAATCTTGAAAATGCAGGAAATCCTGCAGTTTCTCTCGCCTCAAATCCTCTGTCACGGTCATTTCTCAAAACTCCCCCTCCACCACACATTGATGTAACTTTCTCAACATCACTGACATGGTGATGAAAGTAAGCTAACTGGCCGATACTGGTGCAGCAGTTAGCATCCTACCAGACAGAACGAACGATCATTTACACTATCCAATTTTAAATTTACAGATAATAAATGGAAGAGCGATCGTCACTTTGGCCAGAGCTGCCTGTAACTGAAGTTGGGTGTACACAAACTGACTGACTGGATTTTCACTCTGGCAGAATTGTCCATTCAAAACATTGGT